AATGTGGTATTGCTCAGGAGGCTCTACATTAGGAATGTTGATTGGAAAAAAATAAGAGCGCCTTTATATATATATATGTGGTTTGTTTAGGAAATTTTATATATATATATATATATATATATATAAAATAAGAGCGCTTTTATCATGTTGATAGCATTAGATTGCTAGCTTTTATTTGGTGAGCTCTTTCTAAAAACTTATGTAATTATAGTTATACTCTCTTTTTGACATACGCCAGTTGGAGCTTCTTTCGCAAAGCTCATTGGCTTTAGGAAGGATGTCTTATCTCCACTTCTGTATGTCCTCTAGTAGAGTAGAAGTGTCTAATGTAGTGGAATGTAGTGGAATATTGTAAGAAGTTATTGAAAATGATTTAAGGGATTTCTTGTGCAATGTTCTTGGTGCAGATGAGGAGAGTCTTTTAATGAACTCAAAAATGTTTTGCAGACCTCTATCCTCAAGAGGCTTAGCCCTTAGTGTAGAAAATCCCAGATGTAAGAATGTAGTCTTTATCTAAATGGCTTCGGGTATTTTGAGAGATACAGATCTCTATGTTGCAAAATCACTTCCAGCTAGTTTGGGGAGGATGCTTTTGTTTGGTTCATGGATTTTTCCTCCCATGGTAATTCTAGATGCCCATGGCACTAAATTGCTATGTGTTGGTTCTTCTTTTGGCCAATACATTATTTGAGTGAAGGTCAGTAGCTTGATGACAATGCCTTTGTATGTTAACTTTCCTAGACTCTATAGAATTACTAATAACCATCTGATAAATGGTCATGAAGTTTGGAATTGGGATAGATGAAGCCATAATGCTAGGAGGCCCTTGCCAAAGTCAACAAGTCTGATTAAGTCGAGATGGAGATCCTGAATTTGACACTTCTTCCCAGATGATTTTTGTTTACAATAGAAGTGGAGAAGATCAAAACCTTATTTTGTAGACCAGTTTCCACCTTTTCAATCGGTGTCCTCCATCCTGTATTCAGATGTGCGTCATGCAATTATTTATAGGCCACAATTTCAAAGGGAAAACAAATTCTGTGGGTTGAATATAGTCATGGTGTGTGTTCCTTGGCTTAAACAGAATTGTAGGAATTGAGAAGTAGCCTAAAAATGCTTATTAAAACTTTAAAAGAGAGACAAAAGTCGTCTAAGAATGAGGTTAAAGTTGATTGCTACATAATGTATTATGTCTTGAGAAATTTACTTTTTTTTTTCCCCATTATTTGAACTAATTGGAGACCTTTTTTGGTGGTCTCCTTTAGTTTTGAAGAGGGTAGAATCAATAGTATAGAAATGTGTGTGCTTTGTGCTGGAGTGCCCAAGAGGCTCCTTGCTTCACATGATGCGAGGCAACCTCAAGGAGAGTGCCTTGCCATCTTTGGTTGTGCCTCTCTGTTTCTCTCTAATTCTAAGGAAAGAATTCCAGAGTGCCTATTTCTGAAAATAATCACTTTTAACCGTTGAGGTGCAACAAACTGGCCTAGGCTCATTTCTTTAACTTTTCCTTACCTGCCTATATTGAAATTTTTGCTACAGCATAATTTTGAGTAGATGATTAGTGAAGCATCTTTCCATTGCCATGCTCTTGGAGCATGTGGAAGATAAGCCGAATGTCTATTTTGAAACACAACTGTAGTTATAGTTTGTCGTAGTACATGTGTATATATATGTTCATTCGGATGCCTATTTAGGTTTACTTTGGATGAGAATATTGTTTTCCCAAGTGTGGTAACTGTAGATGGTTTGAGGCAGCATCTTCCAGTGCAGAGTTTTGAAATGCACGTGTAGTCGCATCTAGGCCTGGGGCGCAAGGAAGGAGAGGCAAGGCATCCTTTGGATGGCGCGTGCTGTGGCACACCTGTAATTTTGAAACTTTTTTTTTGAATTTTTGTTTATATGGGAAGAAAATAGCTTCTGGTTCCCTTTATATTTATTCAATCTCTTTGAAAAAAAGCCCTCATATATATTTTTTTCATTATCTCATTCTTCATAACGCTATATTTTTCAATTTTCATATATAAATCTATTTTCATATTGTACGCTTCAATAGAAACAGGCCTTTTTTTTTTCCTGGCCCCTAAGGACTATTGCATTTCTATCTTTAAAAGTCATTGTTCCAGATCCATTTCATTTTCATCTATGAACCATCAGGCATCAATAAGGCCAGATGTCTACTATTGGAAGTTTGGAGCCTGAGATTGGTTGAATCAGAAGGTGCTAATAGAAGCCTGAAAGTCTAAGAAAGTATATTTAGGATTTAACAGGACAATGGAAATGGCTGTGATAACTGATAAGGAGAGGATTTCCCACTTGTGGTGTTACCTAATTATATGGAAATTTGGATGTTGTATAATGTTATTTTTGGCTGAATGAAAGTTTCGTCTTCTATTTATCATCTCTTCTTTTAGTCTTCCCTTTCACTGATTGGAAATTTAGAACTTGAAAACTTGTATTCTGGTTGAAGTACTTTTGTGTAGATATAGATATACCAATTGTAATTCCCAATACAAACGGGAGCGTTATTGTTTGAATTGGGCTCATTTTAATCTTCACAGGTCTGGAAGGTTTCTCAGTGCTTGCTATATTTAAAATTTTCTTGGACATTATAAACTGAATATGCCATTGAATTATTTTCCAGACTCTTTCCTAAGTCCTAATATTGTAGTATAAAATCTTGGCTTTTAATTTTTCAGCATTTGCTCTCATCTTCAATGGACAAAACTGTGCGGCTCTGGCAGTTGTCAAGCAAATCCTGTTTGCATATCTTTTCGCACAGTGATTTTGGTAAGTTCCCTACATGTATTTCTTTTGCTTTGTTTTTTCCCCCCATCTTTCTGTTTAAAACCATGTGCCCTCTAATTCTATTAAGTGACGACCCAATGAAAGCTTTTATTTTTTCTTTTTAAGCTCGATTTATCAATCAGAAAACAATTACAACCCAACTCAGGAAGACTTTGGCCATCTAAAATGCCCAAGGAATATTTTTAAATTTTCTATGGTCTCTTGATGAACTGACTTGTAGCTAATAGCAAGTTTGTTTCTCGCATGTACCTTGCCACAGTAACTTGCATCCAGTTTAATCCTATTGATGATAGATACTTCATTAGTGGATCGTTAGATGCTAAAGTTCGTATATGGAGTATCCCAGATCGTCAGGTTGTTGATTGGAGTGACTTGCACGAGATGGTGACCGCCGCTTGCTATACGCCCGATGGCAAGGTTGAATAGTTGGTAACTTTGCCTTGTTTCTGTATAACCTATAGTTCTATTTATTGCTCAAAAAGATTCTTTTTTCCCACTTTAAAGGGTGCATTGGTTGGTTCTTACAAGGGAAGCTGCCGATTGTACAGTACCTCTGGTATATTTATATTCTGTCAACTCAATTATTCCTTCCTCTCCTAATTTCCCAAAAGTATATACGTGTGAATGATATTTAAAATCGACAGACTGAGTTCTTCTGTGCATTTGGTCATTGACTGAATGATGATTCTATTTTTCCAATTTTTTTCCAGAGAACAAGATGCAGCAAAAAAGTGAGATAAATCTGCAGAACAAGAAGAAAAAGTCCAGTCATAAGAAAATCACTGGGTTCCAGGTAATTTGATGGGTTATTTTAGTGTTGTTTTCTTCCCATATTTTTCCTACTAGCATGGACTGAAATATGTTGTTACTACCCCTTCGGCCCTGTCCACTCGGCTGAAGCATGCACACAAAAAAAGAAAAACTAAAACATTGCTATGATTCCCAACTTTTCTTCCAGTTTCTGATCATTTCCAATTTACAGTTTGCTCCAGGAAGTTCTTCAGAAGTGCTCATTACCTCTGCAGATTCACGCATCCGAGTGGTCGATGGTGTTGATCTGGTACAGAGGTTCAAAGGTATGGTTTAAGTTCATTAAGATGTTTTCAAGGATTACTTTTCAGAGTTCTAGCAACTGTAGAATATTTTTTTTTAAATTTTTTTAATTTTAATTTTAATTTTTTAAAAACCATTACTATGACTGGGACTAGTTTTGTGGTAAGCTCCTTGAACCGTGGAGATTGAAGCGAAATCGCCAACACTCTGAGAATTTGGTCCTTGTTTAATTTTCACAAGTTCAGTCGACTTGTCGCCATGTAAAATGTGACTCTGCACAATATCGGCACATGGCTCCACAATCTTGGTCATCCTATTTTTTACCGGCATGCTTAAATGAAGTTTTAGAGATGGATGATCCTACAAATATTTGTTTCCCACTACATTATTCTTCTGGCCATGCTTTTTGTGATCATTTGAGTTCGGTTCCTTTGCCTTTATTCCTTGCTTTCGGATTCTATTTTCACAATTCTTTTATGAAGCTCTAGAACTCCCTTTTCTGTGCATCAGTTCATTGCTGCAATGTCTCTACTCCAAACGTTTTAAGAAAACCAGTTAAATTGACCTCCAAAGTTCATAGGTTCATCTCTAACAATTGATGGTATTGGATTGTATTTACTGCATTTTAATGGGATTTGATTGTGATCGTCTTCAAAGTTCAGTTTCTATGCTGCTTATAAATTTGCATATCTCACTGGCTTGGATCAAAGAATGATTATTTCTACATCAGTGGTTGTTATGTCTATTATTTAAGATTGTTAAGTTTGTAACAGGGTTCCGAAATACGAACAGCCAAATCTCGGCCTGCCTTTCGGCGAATGGCAGGTACGTGATATCGGCCAGCGAGGATTCTCATGTGTGCATATGGAAGCATGAAGCTGATGCTCGGCCTAGTAGGAGCAAGGGTGTGACAGTCGTTCGATCGTACGAGCATTTCCACTGTCAAGATGTCTCCGTGGCCATACCGTGGCCCGGTATGGGCGATTCTTGGGGACTTCATGACGATTATTGCGGAGACAACAATGCGATCGAAAATCACCTCGACGAAGTCTACTCTGCTAACCATCCCCCTACACCCGTGGAGGCAGCAAACGGCAGTGAGGATTCCCTATCGGCATCTGGTTGCACGAACAGCCCTCTTCACGGAACTCTTTCGAGTGCAACCAACAGCTACTTCTTTGACAGAATCTCAGCAACATGGCCGGAGGAAAAGCTTGTTCTGAATCCTCGGAACAACCGTAGCCCTCATTCCAGTGTGGACATTGCCAGCGGAATGTTTCAAGGCTCTTCGGCATGGGGTATGGTGATCGTAACTGCCGGGCTCCGAGGCGAGATCAGGACTTTCCAGAATTTTGGATTGCCAGTTAAGATTTAAAGAGAGGTTGTGAAAATGAAACTGGAAGCCTCTTAGAACCAAAACCCAAATGGGAAGGGAGTAGAAAACTACTCCAATGCCATTACCATTGCCATTGCCATTGCCATTCATGCCCCTCCCCACTGATTGGAAAATATGTACAGAGACAGAGAGATGATGGGGTGACATTTGTAATGTTAGCAGAATTAAGTGTCTAGTTACCCTGTGCTCACGCTCCTCGGGCGGAGCAGAGATCGAGAGCCAGTCGAGTGGAGTGGCGGGAAAGAGTATAGATTTGTGAAGAGAAAAACTGAAAAAGGGGAAGAAAAAGAAAAAGAAGAAAGAAAAGAAAAGAAAATTTACACTATGAATTTAGCAACAGATGATGTGATTTCTGTAATCGGGAATTGTAGAGTTTTGAGCACTGCAAAAGCCTTATTGAATTGAAAAGGAGAAGGAAAAAAGAAAAAAAAAGAGGATTTTTTTTTTTATCAGGAATGTTGTTTGGATTGGTTTTGAGGATTATTTTCTCTTAACAAAAATACACAAGGCCAAGGGTAGTCTGGTAAATTGAATTGAACTTTCCAGCTATGTTTTGTCTGAATCTGGTAATGTCAATAGTGAAACTTAGATGTTCTATATTTATATGAAAGAAGATAAAAGTTTTACAAGGACGGTGAATCATAAGATTCCTTTTTTGGAAAATCTGCACTTTTCCAAATCCAGAAATGTCGAGGATTTATCCTGGCAGTCAATACGTTTATGCATACCTCTTAACAATTTGCTTCTAGGTCAATTTGAGCATAATTCAATCAGTTAAGACACTTATCTCTGATTAAAATATTGTGAGTTTAAATTAATGTTTCTTAATTGACTTTTCAAATTAGTTTAGATTTTTAAAATATTTTTAAAAAGTAGATAATTAAGTAAAGAAATACATGATTAAGCTAAAATCTAAAAAGCAAAAAGCAAGATGATGGAAGATGAAGATTGTCATTGGATCCATTATGTCTAATTTTGTGCAAAAAAAAAAAAGATAATTATGTGTAGAAAATGTATCAGGAAAATAACATGTGCATGTCATTTTTTCCTCATCACATATTTTAACTCGAACACTTAAATACTATCACCTAATCAATTCTAAATTTACACTTAAACCCATAAAGGTCCAATTAATTTAAAATTTTGAAAGTTTTTTATTACATTCAATTTTTTTTTTAAAAGAGGGAAACTAAATTGAATAAGGTGTGGATTTAGATTCGAGCTCCCACTTCAAGTGCTTACAAATAAAGGGTTGAGTTGAGAGTAGTAGAGGATTTCAGATTGATTTGGGTGGACTGGTTAAATCAAACTCGATCGGATCAGATTTAATCGGGTGGTTCAGATGGCTCAATCTATTTCGCCTCCTTGGTCTCACTTGAAGTTAAACTAGTACGATAATTTTACCCATAACAAAATTTTAAGAATAATATTTAAGTGCTTATCTTCTTACTCACCACCATTAAATATTGATAGCTCATTTATTTTTTTAAATGATACATTTTCTATCTCTTTTAGCTATTCTATTTTCAATAGTAATAAATAGAAAAACCTAAATATTACTTAATTTTAAAAATTAAAAAGTGGGAGTTCTAGAAATCTACCATTTTTATTTTTACCATTTCACAGACAGTCCAAAAATATTTTTCTAAAGAAACAAAAGTGAAAATTTCAATAAACCAAAGCAAAAAAGAAAATCATCCTTAGAAAATTCACTACACCATAGTGATGAATGATGATAGTGAAAAAAAAAAGGAAAAAGAATGAAAATCTCCCACCCATTCCCCATCCCTTTCAGTTCTGGCGATTTTTAGCATCATCCCGTAATTTCCTTTTTCTTTCAAAAGAAAATAAAAATATATATATCTGAGGAAATCCAGTTCTCTAATTCTGATTGGTGGGTAGGAATTGATTTGGCAGAAGCCCACGTTTCACCAATTATCTTATCCCCTCTTTGATTTTTGATATCTTGAAGCCGTGACTCCTTTTTGTAGGCAATGGCTTCTGATCTTTTCCCCTATATAAACCACTCTCTAGATATTCTCTACCCAATGCTTAACCCAATTCACCTTTCAAAATCTCAAATTTCAGCTCTTTGATTTGGGTTTTAATGGCTCTCCAGGCTGCTTCTCTGGTTTCCCCTGCTCTCACTCTTCCCAAAGAGGTCTGTCTCTGTTACTGTTACTCACCCAAATACAAATGGTGATGTTTTCTTGAATCTGGGTTGTGTTCATTTTGGTCTGACATACATGCATATGGGTTTTTCCAGGGAAAGTCTGGTGCATGCTTGAAGGATTCAAGTTTGTTTGGGATTTCATTTTCAGACCATATCAAATCTGAATTCAGTTCTTCTGCATTGAGGTGTAAGGTAGTGGGTGTTTATTTTTTGTGTGTTATTTATCTGTTTTCTTTTGAAATTCCGTGAGAATTTTGTTGGTATGGCTGAGATTTGGATGTTGGTGGATTGTAATGAATGTTATGTGTTTGGTGAAACGCCAGAGAGAATTCAACCAACAGGTTGGTGCCATCAGGGCTCAAACAGCTGCTACCACAACTCCAGCAGTTAACAAGGCTGCCCCTGATGGGAAGAAAACTCTCAGAAAGGGCAGTGTTGTGATTACTGGAGCCTCTTCTGGGTTGGGTCTGGCCACAGCCAAGGCTCTGGCTGAGACAGGAAAATGGCATGTTATTATGGCTTGCAGAGACTTTCTCAAGGCTGAGAGAGCTGCAAAGTCTGCTGGCATGAGTAAGGAAAACTACACCGTTATGCATTTGGACCTCGCCTCGCTCGACAGCGTCCGACAATTCGTTGACAACTTCCGGCAGTCAGGCAGGCCGCTTGATGTGCTGGTGTGCAATGCTGCAGTTTACCTCCCAACTGCTAAAGAGCCTACCTTCACCGCTGAAGGATTTGAGCTTAGTGTTGGGACTAACCATCTTGGCCACTTCCTCCTCTCCCGTTTATTGCTTGAGGATTTGAACAAATCTGATTACCCCTCGAAACGACTCATCATTGTTGGATCGATTACGGGTAGGTTCTATTATTCGGGGTTGCTCTGAATCTGATATTTTGCCTTTTTGGGAGTGCTGAACTTTGATTTCATGATCAGGAAACACAAATACCTTGGCTGGAAATGTACCTCCTAAGGCCAACCTTGGAGACCTCAGGGGACTTGCTGGAGGATTGAATGGCCTAAACAGCTCTTCCATGATCGACGGTGGTGATTTCGATGGTGCCAAGGCATACAAGGACAGCAAAGTGTGCAACATGCTCACTATGCAAGAGTTCCACAGGCGGTACCACGAGGAAACTGGCATCACATTTGCTTCCCTCTACCCGGGATGCATTGCTACGACTGGCTTGTTCAGAGAGCACATTCCCTTGTTCAGAATACTCTTCCCTCCCTTCCAAAAGTACATCACCAAGGGCTATGTCTCAGAAGAAGAATCAGGAAAAAGACTAGCTCAGGTAACTAAACTTAACCTCACCATAGGCAACGAAAAACTATCTCGAATGTCCAATTGTATCAGTTCAAGAATCTGATCGTTTGCTCGTAATGCAGGTTGTGAGCGAACCGAGCTTGACAAAATCAGGTGTGTACTGGAGCTGGAACAAGAACTCGGCTTCATTCGAGAACCAGTTGTCTCAAGAAGCAAGTGATGCAGAGAAGGCTCGCAAAGTTTGGGATTTGAGTGAGAAACTTGTTGGTTTGGCTTAAAAATCAGAATGACTGAAGTTTCTGTGATGGTCTTTGGTTGCTAAAACTAAAGATCACTGAGCGCGGGAATTCGTAACTGTGGTGTTGTTTTGTAAACAAGTTTTCTGATGTAAAAGTAGTTGGTTGACTTGAGTTTAGTCCTTAATAAAAGGCATCATCCTCTACCAAAACTGTACGGTCCTGCTTGAACCACGAACCACGAACCACACGAGCAAGTTAGGTACGAGGGGTAGATGGCTCGTAGCCTCATAGTCGTAGCACCCCTTTTCTTGATCCAGTCTTTTCTTCGCTTCAGTTGTGAATTGCCTACTCAAAAAGGAGTGATGTTCGCACACCGTAGCCTAACCTTACATTTCAACAAGCCTTGAAATGTTTAATCAGTGGCAGTTTACCCAAATTCCAAGCTTGAAAGCCCCATCTCCAATTACAATATTAAAAAGATTGAACATATCAATTAGTATTTATTTGAGTCAATTAATATTATAAGAACGAGGGTAAATATTTAACGTTAGAAAACATTAGTTTCAATAGTATTTTTAATTGGGACAATCCGGCTAAATAGCCTTTTTCAAAGGCCCAGAAATGTGCTCCCTCTCTGTAAACATTTTCTGATATCAATTTGGTGTGAAAATACGTATTTACTCCCTTCATTTTTTTTTCCAATTTATTACTTTCTCCTCCTTCCTCTCTCGTATCGTTACAATCCCACTCTTTTTCTTCACCTTCTCTGAAAAAACAAGCAACAAGCTTCATTTATGATTTTTTTTCGATGAGAGACATGCGTTGAGAGCGAGAGCGAGAGGAGCGACAGCCTTTTTTTGTGTGTTCTATTTTTATTTTTTTTTTATGTGGGGGGAGGGGGTTTGTGTGAACTCTTTGTTCTTGGTTCTTTGTTGAGTTTTTACTTCTCTTTTAGGTGTGACCCGTTCTTTTGTGTGCTGTGTATTTTTTATTTTGTTTTTTGAATTTTAAGCTCCAACAATGGAGTCAAACAAGATTGAGAGGAGATGAATGAAAAATAAGGAAGAGAGAGGAGAGAGAAAAGTGAATGCCTTCCAAATCAAACAAAAAATCGAATGGGATGTTGTGTAGAAAAAAATGGAAGAAAGAGATATCTCAAATCATAGAGAGAGAAAAGGATCTACAGAGGAATGTAAGAATGAATAAGAGGGAGAGAAAGTTGAGAGGAAGAGGAAAGAGCAGAGAAAATGAGACAAGGGATAACTTGTAATTTCACTTGACGTAAGCAAATTGTTAAAAAACATAAAATTTGGAGCTTGTGATACATTTTATAGTTAACCTTTGAAAAAGACTATTCAATCCAATTTTCCCTTTTAATTGTCCCACTACTTTCATAAATTTAATTAAGAATTTGATAGAAAGAGAAAAGTTAAAAAATTGAGAATGACAGCTGAAACCGATAGGATTCCTCATCAAGGACTACTTTAACGACACAAGGCAAATCAACTAAAGGATGACCTATTCGAGTAACTCTCCACACTTCTTTAAGAAAGCACACCAAAATATACCTGATAATCCCCTCTGTACCAAAAGCAACATCATAGAGAAACACCCACAAAAACCATAAAACTACCTAAGGAAGTTGGAACTTCCCCAAAAGACACCTCGTCCCCAAGGTGGAAATGAGGAAATCCTCCCAAGAGTTGTCACCAGCTAGTAAATCCTCCCACAAACCTGTCGAATGCCTAAGACAGCTGCCGGATGAACCTGCCACTCCAAATTAGGTGCTGAAATGAGATGAAAGAGGTTGACGAACATACCAGTACCAACTGAGATACATGAAAAAACTGGATGAATTTGGGCCGAAGAAGGAAGATACAATTTACATGCAATCGAACCAATGCGTTGTAAAACTGGAAAGGCCCAAAATATTTAGCAGCCAACTTCTCATTGCGCCGCTTGGCCAAGGATGCCAAACGATATGGGCGTAGTTTTAAATAAACCATATCTCCCATGACCAGCTCAATATCTCGACGATGACAGTCAGCCACTTTCTTCATTTGGATTGGGCACGCTCCAAATGGGCAGATCAAGTAGTGCTTGATTGCAGGAATTTGCAGTAGTACTTTGTTAGAACCCAAACAAGAAATACTAGAACTACCAAGTAATTTGAGGTACTTGGACCCTCCCYTCCTCTCTTGAGTATTCTTACTCGAGCCTAAACCATACTCAGTCCATTGGATACCTTCATCCTTGCACCTCCCTTCTATTTATAACAACACTCCCTAACCACTCTCCTATCTAATTACTAAAGTACCCTCGATACTCTAATAATATCTCTTTATTACCCTAAGGGTGATTCCTATCATACTTTGACCATAATGGACTAAAGGAGGGAGTGAGCCCGACCATACAAAACCTAAAAAATGGAGTAGTACCGGTACAAGAATTGAATGTAGTATTGTACCAATATTCTACCCAAGATAACTAATGCTGTCACTGTGTTGGTTTTTCATGACAAAAACATCATAAATAGGTCTCTAAAAACCGATTAACAACTTCCGTTTGAGGATGATAAGTACTTTTGCGCAACAGGGTTTCATGCAAACGAAACAATTCACTCCAAAAATGGCTCAAGAACACTGAAACAGTTGACAAAGCACCACTTTTACGAATACATCTGCTACTATCTTTGCAGAAAAAGGATGTTTCGAGGGAAGAAAATGAGCATATTTACTCACCCTGTCTGCAACCACAAAAACAATTGACAAAGGTTAGGTACGTGGGGTAGACTACTCGTAGTCGTAGCACCCTTTTTCTTGATCCAGTCTTTTCTTCGCTTCAGTTGTGAACTGCCTGCTCAAAAAAGAGTAATATTTGCACACCCTAGCCCAACCTTACATTTCAACAGGCTTTGAAATGTTTAACCAGTGGCAGTTATGCCATCTTTTACCCAAATTCCAAGCTTGAAAGCCCCATCTCCAATTACAATATTAAAAAGATTGACGATATAAATTAGTATTTAATTTGAGTCAATTAGTATAAGAATGAGGGTAAATATTTAACATTAGAAAAGGTTAGTTTCAATAGTATTTTTAATTCTCCCAACACTTTCATATATTTAATCAAGAATTTGATAGGAAAAAAAAAAGTTAACCTACCGAGGAAGAGTGTTTAGTATCTATAAGAGATTAAAATTTACCATAACTTATCCGCTTAAGTTCATGATACATTTCACTAAAGGCCAGAGGGAAAAAGTCTTACAAACTCTGCAGTATCTAAAATGTTGTCAAGTTTCAACTGAACTAATTTTTGTACATTGTAAGTGTCTCACTCTCAAATAAGTATAAAAAACCTTAAAGTTCATAAGATGGGAACCTTGCTACAGAGGGCTCAACCATGTCAAAAAAGAGATATGCCATTCCCCCAATTCCTTCAAACAAGGAATAAGGGCGATCTCCAGAATGCATCTTCCCCTCTGAAATTAGCCTTTCTGCATTCTGATGCAGAAAGCATGCAAATGCCTTGGCTCTGTACAAGTATTTGGTATCACCAGTCAACCTGTAGAGCGAAAGAAACACGTACGTGTTACCGCTAATTCCATGGCAGATCCCAACTCGTTTAAGCAGACCCCGGTTCCAAATGACTTCCGCAGCATCCATTGCTGCTTCCAGAAACTTGTCATCTCCAAAAATCTGGTGATTGTTTGCAAAGAGATCAGTTGATAGTTTCATTTCATATAGTGACTGAATCTCTTACTAAACTGGATAACACTTAAGTAAAAAGTTTATACTCCTCGGTTGAATCTGCCCAACCCAACAGAAGATAATCCGATTACTACGATATTACAGGCATTGTGAAAGCACGAACGGAAACGAATACCTCAACTGCTTTTATGAGGGTAAGTGCAACCCCAGGGGCTCCATGGCACCAGTGCACCAGACGGTCGGATTCATTTCCTTCGCTTGAGCAATAATTGCCACTCGGAAACCGATCTTTAATCATGTAACGTATCGTACTTTTAACATCCTCAGCCTCATCTGGCTGTAGTTTCACATTCATCAAGACATGCATAATTCCAGCTAGTCCATGGGCAGCACCCCAGTACTTCTTCCCATGCCATTCATACATCAATGGCGATTTCCCTTTCTTACCCAATTGCCTACCAGCCTCAATAACCTCATCGACAACTGATCTCTACCCAAAATCTCAATCCATTAGACGTCGAGTTATGCAGATTCTCGAGTAAAGAAGATCAAATGTAGTTTATTGTCAGCATAATAACATACCATAATGGTGTTAGATATGGTGTTGTGACCAATGTGCTTGTTTAGGAACAGACATGCCCATAAGAACCCTGCTCTGCCATACAGCAGTTCATTTGGTAAATCATCGGGTGGTTTGATCTGCTCTCACAGGCATGTAAATGGGTCTCAAGTTCAACAAACATTCATAATCAAAATGAAATGAAATCAATGGTGAAAAAGCATTACATATTCAAATTTTTCCAAGTAATGGCTGACTTGCCTTCCATTGTTGGCGAGCTTTGCTGCAACTGCACCAAGAGCACAAACTCCAGCTCGCCCACAAATGAACGATACACGCCTATACAAAGCAAGCGAACAACAAATTTCACCATAACATGGAATCAGATCAATACAAGACAAGCAAGTGAACCAGAAAGATCACCTCGAATCTGTAGAAACAGAATCACAGGCTGTGACGATCTCAGAGCATAATTTGAGATCAGTTTCATTGTTGGAAACTAGGTAGGATTTCAAAGCCAGGAAAGCCGTCCCCAATGCCCCAGTGTACAGAGTCCAATCCCGCGGATGGCTTTCTTTCGACGTCCACGTTTCCCTCACGACCTGAAACCGAAAATGTCAGACGCAGAAACAAAACCCTAGAGAACCCACAAATCCAAATTCTCAGTACCGTTTCTTTGAGGTCGAAAGCGGCCTTTCGAAAGTGATCAGAAAGCGCTGCGTAGGGCAGAGAAAGGAGCTCTGTGAGAGTGAGAGCATCGGAATCGGATGCTGCGAGTTCTTCCGCCGGCGCTTCGGCCACGAAGTCCGGCATTTGGTTTGGGAAGAAACGGTCGGCCATTTCCGTGGGCTTTCTCCGATGGTGTCGGTCTCTGCAGAAAGCTGAAGCCCGTGGCAGACGATTGCTGTTGCTGATTCCACTGCCGGAGCCAACACGTGTTCATTCATACCATTTTTTTTTCTGAAAAATACTCTGATTTTACTAATTTTTTAGTTCCCGCCAAATATACGAGCGAAAATTAAGTTTTTGTGACTAAATTGTGTCATTGTGTGTGAACAAGTTCGTGAAACTTCAAATGCAAGCGTGGCTCTATCGGACCGTCTGTTTCGATCGACATTTTGGTAAAAATTTGGACGTTTTTTGGATTGCGATTCAAGTGGGTTCATATCTACGCCTGAATGTTGATAATTTGATTAATTTCTGTGCGATTGATTAGGTATCGGCGTTTGATGGAGGTATCATCATCATATTTATCACTTTACTACACTGTAAGAACAAGAACAAGGTGGATTCGAGCTCTTCAGCCTATTTTACGAGGTCAGAAACTTCCGTCCTTCATTCTATCATACTAGTTTTTGAAGTATATCTGCCAAAACCAAATCGAGTTGAAGCTTTAGCTTTCCACAGAGTTCTACAAGGAACTACAGAAAGAAGACAGAAATGTCATAGTGCCGGCCAAGTGTTTGATAAAACGTTTCTTACATTTGAGCTTCGTTTCTCATCAAATTCACTAAGAACATCCTCAAGTTTTCATCAATTTTATTTGTTTATTCACATTTGAAGAAGTTTCTGAGCTCACTTTGGGTGACCAAGTAAGAAGGCAAAGACAAATTTTTATTCTCTAAGTTACATGAGATGTATCTAGTATCTTCTAGTTGGTGTCCCATTCAGCCCAATTAGCTTCACTGCCTCTTCTTGGAATGCTGTTCACTCTTGTATACACATCAACCTTGAAGTTGGCTCCACACATGGCTCCTTCACTGTCAATTCTAGGCATTGGCTTCATCTTGTTCAATGGATGCTCAAAGCTCATTAGACCTCCCTCACTGTGGAACATGCATCCTGCTCATTCATTCAAAACAAAATTCTCAATCACAAGAAAAATATTCCACTCCATTCCCATAATCAATCAAAAACATTACCAGTTGGGAAGGGTGCATATGACTTAGCACAGCCTTCTTTTATGACCTCCACATCATCTGATATCACCACTGACCCATCTGCTGCAATGCCCCAATACAGCTTCACTCCCCCATCAGCACCCTGCTTAGTGAATCACCCATCAATTAGCCACATTTTGTGAATGCCAAATTGCCCATTTGAAAGAGTTAGATAGATAAATGAGAGAAGGGGAAGTTGTGTAGATACCAAGGCAGCAAAAACAGCACCAGCCCTGCTGTCATAAACAACAAAGGCAAAGCTGCCATCAAGGTCCTTGAGAACCTGATCAGCTGGATAAGGACCTCTGTCCCGAAGTGTCCTATAGGCCTCAATCAAAAACATGGCCTCGTTTGAGCCTTTTGATAGACCGTATTGCTTGTTGAGTGCACATAGATTGCTTAAGCTCCCCAAGAACAGACAGTATATTTCATCAAACCCACAGAACAGCCTGCACCCAAATTCACCCAAAAAAAACTTCATCTACTGTTTGGATTCATAAATCATAACCAGTATTCTAAAGAGAGAGAGAGAAGAAGACGAAGTTACCTCTGGTGGAGAGAGAAAGGTCGGTCAGGAGGAACATAAGCTAGAACAGCCGCTTCACCAAAGTTGACAGAGAAAGTGTTGTGAGGGTGACGAGAAAGAAACTCTTTTAGTGTTTCTTCAGGAAGCTTAGGAGTCTTAGAGCCACTGAAAGATGCAGGGCTGTTGAGTTCCTCAGGTGGGTGTGCAAAAGTTTTGTGAAAAATGGCCAACATTTTGAGAAATACAACTTATTGGGGGGTTCCTCAAGATCGAAACCAAACCAGAAGCAGAGAGAGAGAGGGGAGAGGGAGAGGACTTGGAGCTACCAAAGGCCAGCCTTATAAAAGGCAAAAAGAAGGGCAGAGATGGTATGGAAATGTTGTGTAATTATTGTGGGCGTGGATTTTCCATTGTGTGATGGAATGGGATAAGGTTCTCGTTTTTCAAGGAGTGCTTATCCTTTTCTTAGTATTTTAGTTTAATGTTCGTGGGGATTGAGATTTATCTGATTTGTTAATCAACACTTCAGAGTCAGAACTGTAAATCTGTCGGCTCAGGCGGTGGTAATTGGCAAAAGGAATCCACAATATCAAGGACGTGTCAGGACAATGATAAGCATTAATGTGGACCTTAATGATACGATTGTTGCTTAGATCAAAATTTAAAACGTGATAAGTATGAATTCTCGTCCTATATCAAAATTTAATAGTGTGAATCTTGTGGTATTATTACATCCAAATTTAGAAACAATCCTCTATCAAGTGAAATCTAACATAGTTAACTAGACAATAGAAGAATCATAACATAGTTAACTAGACAATAGAAGAATCATAAGTAGATAAATGAAGAATAAAACGAATCCTTTTGAATAAAACTACAAGTAAAGTTACAAAGGATTTGGATTTAGAGTAGGACAATAATCATAGAGACGTCGGTTGTGGAAACATGTATAGATTCAAACAAACAAGCTGTCTTCACATGGGGATAGCAGCCAAGAACAGTAGAAGTTTGGTTAGAGGAATAAGTGAGTGAGAGTTGTGATGATAATGGTAAAAAAACAAACATGGAATTAGGTTGTGGTTTGGTATGAAAGGTGTCATCCAAATCTTCCAATTCTGTGGGTCTGTTTTTAGAAGATGAGCCCAACCCAGCACCCAGATATAGCTATGTCGTATTAGAGTATTATATTCTACAGGTAGTTGTTTGACTCGCTAATTTTGGACTTGGTATGACATAATTTTATCATTGTGTAGTCTATATATAAGTTTTATATTTGAAAGTATTTGGATACGTTTTTTTTTTAATATACGTGTTTCTGGAATACGTGAAAGTGGAGATGTGATTTCTCTAACGTTAAATGGTAGGGATTCGAACTCACGACCTTTTGATTAGAGATACACGTTTGAATTATGTTCAGATTGGCCATGAATTGATTCCATTAATTGATTGAATGATTTGAAATAATAATATTATGAGAGTGAAAATGACCAAATTTGTTGACAATTTGTAAAGTGGTTGAATTTTAACCAAAGGATAAATCTTAATTAAATGTATATGGATCATAACTTTTAATTTCTTTTTTTATATATAGTTTCATTCTTCAAAATAAAAAATGTAAACAAAATCATTAATAATTTGAGGATATTAATAAATTAGAAATTGAAAAGAGATCGAAATAGACCGAAATTAAAATTGAGGGACAAAAATGTAATTAACTTAGTATTTTTTGGGGCGCTCAGAAAAGGCCCAAAAGCCCAATCTCTCTAAAGGTCCACTTCCTAATAAAACTCGAAAAATAAAAAGAAACAAACAAACAGAAGCCTTTAGCCTTTACCTATCAGAGCCAGGTTTCGATCCTGGGACCTGTGGGTTATGGGCCCACCACGCTTCCGCTGCGCCACTCTGATTATTGAGAATTGAGTGCTTTAAATTATATATGATTATTAAGTTACACTTTGAGATTTTTAAATGAAATGGCTTTAATTTGGAAAAAAAAAACAAAAATATCTCGGATTTTTAAACTTCTTAATCTATAGATTTCAAATATATATATTTTTTTTCTATAAAAAGTTTAAAACTTCAAAATTAATTTCACTCTGAAATTTTATTTTACCCAATAACACTTTTAAATTAAATAAATGAATAGTTTCAAATAAGTGTGCAGCATCTTTTTTTCTTTTAGCAGCTAGATTTGATGAATTTTTTCAAATTATCAAGTATGACGCTAAATTGGTAGGATATCTAATTTTAGGTATCACGCGTTTGAACTCATTTCTTTTTAATTTTTAACTTTTTTATTGACTATTAATAACCACTCGATCACCCATTGCGGTTTATATAGTCTATATCTTGACTATGCGAAAAGAGTATGTTATAAGAATTTTAATTTTTGTGTGGCTTGTAAAATAAGTAAATTTGTACTGGCATAATCTTCTTAAGATTACATTAATTTAATTCTTAGGTCAAACAATCCCTTTAATTACTGCCCTTTTACATTTGAAAAAAAAAACAATATTTAGTAAACATCCATTTGTTTATATATATAACTAAATTAAACATAGTAGGGAGGAAATTTCAAACTTAAATTGCTGGATTTTTTTTTAGCTCAACTTTTAAAGGAAGATGTAAATACCTTAAATCCATTAAGTAATGTTGTTGAAGGAGAATTACCTACAATCCTATTGATGGTTATTTAACATTCAAAGTTTCCTTTTTGTCGACTTTTTTAAAATTTATTTATAGTTGATNGTTTCTCATTAATCTATTTCTTGCCATTTTCATGAATATATATATTATTAGATTTATAAATAAATATGACTCGACTTGGACATAATCTAATCAGTTATATTTATAATCTTATTGATTATATATTCTCAAACAAAATATTAATGTTCGAATGTCATATATAGATATCCCAACACAACCTTGAAAATTAAAAGGTTGATCCATCCTTGGAATTATGAGCCATTTTTAATTGGGCTTGTTGTAATCTTTTCAATTACAATGGGCCTGAAGACTGACCAGGCCCAATGGCTACTAACTAAAAAATCTCTCGTAGAGCCTAATACTTGGTTGGTTCTTAAAATTTTCTGACTTCTATACCTTTACAATTGAAGTATTATCAAAATTTCTTATCAAATGAACCAAACTGATTTGATAAATATTTGATGAATTTTGCTGATTGGTACAGCTTAGCTGTTAAAATTTAATTGATGATCGAGCAAAATATACTTTTAGTTGATAAGATTTGAGTTCAGTGTCCTTTTGATTCTTGAAATTTCAAAAGGTAAATTTTTTAATTCTTAAGATTTAAAAAATGGTTTTAAATAGTCCGTGGAGTCATAGCAATTATATGTTGATTAGGCTTACTTGCTTGACAAATTATATTAATATTATTTTTTTTTTTTTTTGGTGATTAGACTATAAGTTGACATCTTCTTCCTTTTTCTTTTTTCTCTCTTCTCCTTTTCCTTCCTTTCTCCAATGGCATTCGTTGTTGTCAGCATTATGGTCAACATGGTTGTCGTCTTGAAATCTCCTCTCTATCTCTTCTATATTCTTTTTCTTACATGGCTTTTCTCCGGCGAACTTCGCCTATGCCATCGACTTCCAAATCTAGCACGAAGTGGAGAGCTCCCTTTCATTTCAGATCGGAGAGCTCCCCCTCCCAACTTCCCCCTTCGTTCCTTTCTAGCCCTATCCCTCGTTCCAGATCGATGGAGCTCTTTTGACATTTATTAGTAAACATAATCAAATAAATTAAGGAAAGAGAGTGGAATTCATGATGTTTTAGGAGAGTACCGAGATTACCCTCTTTAGGAGGATTGATTCACAAGTTTCAAGTATGTTCCATTATTTGATTTTCATTCCATCTATTAAAATAATACGGGCTTAACAAGTGCTATAATTAAAAGTTTTTAAGTATAATTAAAAGTTTTTTTTAAGGAAAAGTAAAAGTCATGTCAATTATCCAAATGAAAAGTAAGTGTCTATAAATTTGAGACCTTGTTTCCTTGGAGAAACTCATACCACACAAAGTGCTTAAAATGACTGTCCTGAAGAAGGCAGCCAAGCATTTATTTTGTGGAAAGATAAAAATTACTTTGTTGCAATTTTTTGCCCTTCTTTTTGTTGATGTAGGAAGCAAAAGGAAAGATGCCTTTCCTTTCACCATAAATTTAATTGCAAGTTTTTCCTTTGCTGTTTTGTTTTATATGTATTATGTTTTTGATTGTTGATAATTAATTGATGGGTAAAATATATATCAAACACAGAACTTATGATATGATCTATCATTTATGAGACCAATTATTTTAAAATAAGTGATGTTAGTTTGTGACAAATGTATTATTTGTTAGGGATAGTGGAACACAACCTTCCACGTGGCAAGAGAGGAGATGTCTGAAGGAGGACGAAGTGAGAGAGAGACCTCGGACCTCAACATAACCTTTAATATATAGTTGTTGTGTGCTGTAAATTCCAAAGTAATAATATTTGCTAAACGGCATCCCATGATGGCAGAACCTGCATCCTAATTTTCGAGGAAGTGTCTGATAACCTCCAGATAGGTCCTACCTACCAACAATATAAGTAGGAGTCGTTCTCATATTTAAATACGTGCGTGATTGGTAGCTGGTCTTGAGATAAATGATTCGAGCGCTAGAGTCAGATTTTTTTTCTTTTTTTTAAGAATGAAGAAAAAGAAAATTGATAGAAACAGAATCCACGTACTCAAACCTATAACCATTAACTACCACCTACCTAGACCAACCAAACTAAGTCACATTTATTAGTTTCATTTATCACTCCCTTACGCCATGAAAAAATTATTTGTGCAAAAAATCATACAAAGTCAAGTTGTCCCAAAGAAAATTAAACATAAATTTTGAGGGACAATGCGGTCTTTTTTTTTGTGACAATATAATATGCCCCAAATCTAGGATTTGGATCAAAATTTCAGCACTTGATTGTCCTTATATTCTCCTGCAACTAGGAAGTCACTCGACTCAAGATTGTTCCAAGCCACGCACGCTTAATTTTGGAGTTCTTATGATTCAGCCACCAAAAAAGAAAGTGCAGCTTATTGGTATAGACAATCACTATTAATTCTTTTAAGTCTTTCTTAACCATGTTTCCATGTTCTCAGAATTCATCTCATTTAGATGTGGTATCGATTCATCCATATAACCCTCCTTTCTACTCGAGCATCACAAAAAATCCATTATTATTCAAAAATGGAATAGGTCATGTGAAGTAGGCATATTATAGATTTCATGAGTAAAGGTATCTAAGTCACCAAATCAAAAACATAGGATAACTACAACTTAGTTTTAAAAAAAAAAGATTTTAAAGTCAAATAATCACT